ATCATGGATTATGCTATTCCGGATTTTGAGCAATTGAATTCGGGGATAGTTAGAGCACATATGACCGCTCTCCATTTCGAACTAAAATCGATATTGTTTCACATGTTGCAAACGAATGGCCAATTTGCCGGATTACCTTCGGAGGACCCACATTCGCACTTTAAAAATCTTTTATGGAAATCACTGATGCTTTTCTGATATCGGGAGTGTCAAATGACGCTCTCAGACTCACTTTATTTCCATTTTCATTAAGGGATCAGGCAAAAGCATGGTTTATTTCTTAAACTCCAGGTTATGTGCCTTCGTGGAGTAACATGGCGGAACTTTTTTTGCGAAAATATTTCCCACCAACAAGGAATGCTAAGTTCAGGAATGAGATCTGTCTTTTCAAACAAATGGACGATGAGGCTGTTCCTGACGCGTGGGAAAGGTTCAAAGAGCTGTTGAGGAAAAAATGCCCACACCATGGCATTTCGTATTGTATTCAACTTGAGACGTTTTACAATGGGTTAAATCTCATGGAAAAAGAAATGCTCGATGCGACTGCAGGCGGAGCCTTCACAGCTTTGACCTATAATGAAGGATATGAAATCCTGGAAAAGATATCAGCAAACAATGGGCACTAGGCTGACCCACGTGCTCAATCACAAAAAAAGACTGTTGGGATACATGATGTAGATGCATATACTGCATTAACATCTCATCTTACCTTCATGACCAACATGCTGAAAATTTTAACTTCTGATCAGGGAGGACAGCAAGCTGCTAATACACCTGTCCCATCAGTCCTATCTCTGAAGTGTGTGTGTTGTGGTGGGGTCCATTCATATGAACATTGTACTCATAATTCTGAATCAGTAAATTATGTTCATAAGAGAGCTAACCCCTATTCCAACAATTATAATGCCAGTTGGAGACAACACTTGAACTTTTCCTAGAACAGTCCAAGTTTAAATCCACCAGTCCATAAACAGCAAGGAACTTCCAATTTCCAACCTCAACATCATGGAAACAGTACTAACTCTCAAACTCACCAATAAAGTTTTCAGAATTCACAACCACCTTTTCAGACCAAGCCTTCTCCTCAGACAGAATCATCTTCTTTGGAAGCAATGATTAAACGAATTTTTGCACATGCACAAGCCCACAACCAAGCTTTGATGAATCAACAAAGTGTGGCCATTAGGAATTTGGAGACTCAAGTCAGTCAACTTGCGCTTAACCAGAACAATCGAGCCCTTGGTACCTTGCCCAGTAATACAGAGGTCCCTAGAGACCTAGGTAAGGAACATGTGAAAGTAGTGACCCTTAGGAGTGGGAAGGAGTTAAAGAAAAAGTACAAAATGATAGTACACCCAATCTGACAGAAGCTGATGCTACAGCATTGGTTCCTACCAAAGAAAGACCGGTCCGACCCTTAGAGAAGCAGACATCCGAGACCACCACTTTTGTCCCCCCTAGATCAGACTTTCCATTACTCTTTCCTGAGGATGCTTTAAAAAAGTCAAAAGAAATTGAGGTTTTAGAAACCCCTAAGCTTGATGCTAACATTTCATCTGAACCTCCAAAGTGCACCACAAAGACCCAAGGCATTCAAGACCCATCTTGCTCAACTCATCCAAGCAAGAATGTGATAAAAACCAGTCTCTCCTTATGTTCCTTACCCCCAAAGGTTGAGGAATCAAAAAGAGGAACTGCACTTTAAGAAATTATTGGAAGTGTTTAAAAAATTGCACATCAATATCCCGCTTGTTGAGGCAATTGAGCAAATGCCTAGTTATGCCAAGTTTCTGAAGGACATCCTAAGTAAGAAGAAGAAGTTGACTGAATATGAGACTGTAGCCCTTACCGAAGGATGTAGTGCACTTTTGACCAATAGCATACCCCCTAAGCTCAAAGATCCAGGGAGTTTTAACATTCCTTGTTCAATAGGAGGGAAGGTGATAGGGAAACCCCTATGTGAGTTAGCAGCTAGTATTAACCTTATGCCCTTGTCTGTTTTCAACACCTTAGGCATAGGAGAGGCTAGACCTACCACAGTCACACTCCAATTGGCCAACAAGTCCATAGCATACCCTAAGGGGAAGATTGAAGATGTGTTAGTGCAAGTTGACAAGTTCATTTTTTCTGACATACTTTATCATTCTAGACTTTGAGGCGGATAAGGACATTCCTATTATTTTAGGAAGACCATTTCTAGCCACCGGAAGAACTTTGATAGATGTCCAAAAAGAAGAGTTGACTATGAGACTCCAAGACCAAAAAGTCACCTTTAATGTCTTCAACTCTCTAAAGTACCTTCATTACTTGGAAGAGTGTTCGAGAATATCTGAGATAGAGGAAATGTGCTTTGAAGAAGGAATTCATAAGAACTTTAAGTTGGAAGAGGAGTGTGATGAGGAAATAGAAGAGTGTGTTGAGGAAATAGAGGAAATAGGAAATGATGTTGTTCAGTGAATAATGTAGCATTTGAGCTGCTGGAAAACTGTGAGCAAAAAGACTTTACCCCGTCCATTATATCACCACCTGACTTGGAGTTGAAGCAACTCCCATCCCATCTGAAATATGCTTTTCTAAGAGAAGAAGGCAAATTGCCTGTCATCATCTCATCTACCCTAGACTTGCATCAAGAAAAGAAACTTGTGGACATGTTGAAATTGCACAAAAAGGCCTTAGGATGGACCATTGCTTACTTTAAAGGGATTAGTCCTTCCATTTGTCAACATATGATCATCTTAGAGGACAAGACTTTCACATCCATAGAACCTCAACGAAGGCTGAATCCTGTCATGAAAGAGGTAGTCAAAAAGGAAATTTTGAAATAGTTAGACGCCGAAATTATTTTCCCGATAGCCAGTAGTTCTTGGGTTAGCCCAGTCCAGTGTGTTCCAAAAAAGGGAGGGTTCACAGTCATCACAAATGATAAAAATGAACTTATACCCACTAGAGTTGTATCCGGTTGGAGAATATGCATGGACTATAGGAGACTAAACAAGGCTACTCAAAAAGACCATTTTCCACTACCTTTCATTGACCAAATGTTGGACAGGTTAGCCGGAAAAGAGTATTACTGTTTCTTGGAGGGTTATTCATGGTACAATCAAATAGCCATTTCTCCCGAAGACCAAGAGAAAACCACCCTTTACTTGTCCTTATGGCACCTTTGCTTTCAAAAGAATGTCATTTGGATTATGTAATGCTCCTGCCACCTTTTAGAGGTTTATGACGTCCATATTTTAGGATATGCTTGAAAAATCCATTGAAATATTTATAGATGATTTTTCTGTATATGGATCATCATTTGACAATTGTTTAGAAAATTTGAAAAAGAGCTTGGAACGGTGTGAGGAAACTGATTTGGTCCTAAATTGGAAGAAATGTCACTTCATGGTCAAGGAAGGAATTGTTCTTGGACACTTAATTTCAAAAAGAGGGGTTGAGGTAGATAAAGCAAAACTTGAAGTTATTGAAAAACTATCCGAACCTACCGCTGTTAAGGGTATTAGAAGCTTTTTCGGTCATGCCGGATTTTATAGAAGGTTTATCAAAGATTTTTTGAAAATTTCAAAACCTCTCTGTTTACTCCTACAACATAACCAAAAATTTGATCTTAATGACGAATGCATAAATGCGTTCAAAACCTTGAAGAAAGCTTTGGTTACCGCACCAGTGGTAGTTGCCCCTGATTGGAACAAACCTTTTGAGATCATGTGTGGCATGAGTGATTGGGCGGTAGGTGTTGTGCTAGGACAAAGGAAACACAAGGTGTTTCATTCAATTTACTACGCAAGTAAGATTTTGAATGAGGCACAAATTAATAACACCACAACTGAGAAGGAATTATTGGCCATAGTTTTTTTCTTTTGAGAGATTTAGGTCCTACTTGATGGGAACAAAGGTAATTGTGCATACCGATCACGCAGCCATCAAGTACTTGATCTCAAAGAAAGATGCAAAACCTAGGTTAATAAGATGGGTGCTTTTATTACAAGAATTTGACTTGGAGATAGTTGATAGGAAGGGAGTGGAGAATCAAGTAGCGGACCAATTGTCTAGGTTAGAAAAACCTGAGATAAGAGGAATGGACATTAGTGATACTTTTTCGGATGAAAGAATCCTCATGATTAACCAACCAAAAACACCATGGTTTGCAGATTTAGCTAATTTCTTGGCCTGTGGAATAAAACCCTCTGATTACACAGGCCACATGTTGAAAAAGTTCTTTTCATGATGCTAAATCTTATCTGTGGGATGACCCATTTTTGTTTAGACTTGGTGCAGATCAGATTCTAAGATGATGCGTGCCTGAATCTGAAGTGGCAGCAATCCTGCAGCATTGCCATCATGCACCATACGGAGGCCAAAGAACTGCAATCAAGGTTCTACAGTCCGGTTTTTATTGGCCAACCATTTTTAAAGACTCCCATAATTTTCCACAGAGGTGCAACGAATGTCAAAGGAGTGGCTCCATTTCCAAAAGAAATGAAATGCCATTAAATGGGATACTCGAAGTTGAATTATTTGATGTATGGGGAATAGAGTTTATGGCTCCTTTCCCTCCATCAAATAATTGCCAGGACATTCTTGTGGCTGTAGACTACATATCCAAATGGGTGGAAGTCATAGCATGTGTGTCAAATGATGCCAAAACTGTGGTTAAGTTCCTCCAAAGACAAATTTTCACACGGTTCGGTACCCCTAGAGCACTAATTAGTGACGAGGGTACCCACTTTGTGAACAATTTGTTAAAAGGATTTCTTGAAAAATACAATATAAACCATAGAATTGCCACGGCTTATCACCCACAGACTAATGGTTTGGCAGAGTTCTCTAATAGATAAATTAAAGGTATTTTGGAAAAAGTGGTCAAACCCAATAGGAAGAACTGGGCATTCAAAACACCAATTGGTATGTCTCCAAATAAGCTAGTCTATGGAAAAGTCTGCCATCTACCTCTAGAACTTGAGCACAAAGCATATTAGGCTATCAAAGAGCTAAATATGTCTTTGGATGAAGCCGGAAAGAAAAGAAAGTTACAACTGTGTGAAATGGAAGAACAAAGACAAATGTCTTATGAGAATGCCAAGCTTTATAAGGAAAAGACAAAAAAGTGGCATGATAACAGAATCCAACACCAAGAGTTGAAAGAAGGACAAAAAGTCCTCTTGTTTAACTCTAGGTTGAAACTATTCCCGGGAAAGCTCAAGTCTAGGTGGTCCGGAACCTTTGTCATTCATAAAGTTTACTCTTATGGAGCGGTTGACCTGATCAACCCGGAGGACAACACGGTGTTTAAAGTGAATGGGCAACGAGTTAAGGCATTTCTTGATGCTGTAGCATTCCCAGAGCATTGCTCTGAGAATTGGGCCACGCTTTAAATAAATGTGTTTTGTTGACTTTTCAAAGTCCAATGGTGTTTGTAAATATGTTCCCTTTATATATGTGTATATATATATATATATATATTAGGGCAGTTATGTTTTATAAGTTTGTTAATGTGCAGGTTAATTTTGAAAAAGTTGTGAGAAAAGCTGATGATTTACTGATGTTGTAGCATACCTGTCCAGATTTCACATGTGAAGTTAGGTGAAAATTTTCAGAAAATCAAGGAAAGTACAATGAGATATCAGTAGCCGCCTGGAAAATCAGAAAAGAATTTTGCCAGCCTATTCTTTTCAGTTTTTGTCTCCCATGCAAACACCACCCACTCCCTCCATAATGATATGCTTTCTTAACCTCCAAATAACCGTTTTGTCCACTGGTTCTTGACTCAACCTTCAACTTTTCAAAAGGAAAAGGAAGGGGACTTAATTGAGAAGAGACCCTTTATCATCCCAAGACCCATCATCACCGTCGTCGACCTCTCACTCACCGGGTCCATCACTTCAACAAAACTCTCAATCATTTCTCATTCTCACATTTCTCTCTTCACAAACCTACACTACTGTTTTATTGCAAAAGACATGGCCCGAATGAAGAGGACGGTCATCTGAGACCCACCACCACCACCGGTACGAAGGAGTAACCGTCAGCGAGCCACGACTTCATCTTCGTGACATACAAGCGAGCCCGAGTGGGTGGACCTCATAGCCAACAGTCCGTCATTGTCTCCCCCGTCTTCGCCATCGCCGCCCAGACCACGGCTGGTTACACCACTCATCGCCAATTATTCGCCTAAGGCTAAGCGAAAGACGAGGCAACTGTCGTATCCACCACCATTCGCTGTTTGTCCACCCATATCGCCGCCTCCAACCGTCGATGCCCCTTCATCCTCTCCACCTACTGTCGTCGACACCTCTACTCCTACACCAACCATTTCACCGGCAAAATAAAACCCTAAATTAGGTATTAAGGTATATCCTTTTTCGAGCCCTAATTTGGTGGAGGGACTTACTGCCTCTGATTCCTCTGAGGAGGAAGAAGATTTAATGGACAGTTCAGCACCATCACCCACTGGTTTGAATGAGACAAAAGTCTATCTTTTGACTTGGCCTGATCATCACACTACTCATGAACCTACGGCTATGGCCGATTCTGCTCCTCACACTATTTAGGAAGAACACATTGAGTTTGATCATGGTACACCACCTGTTGAGGAAGAATCTGTTGAAATTGATCACTATGCACAACCTGTTGGGGAGGAAAACATTGAGTCCCCAACAATAGAAATGGATTTGGAAGCCGATCTTAGGGATATAACATCCATACCCACAAAGAAGAGAAAGGGGCTAGGAAAGGTGTTTGCAACCAGGTCTAAGGTTGTGGAAAAATAGCCCCCTAGAAAGAGGGCCAAACGTACACCTGCACCATCTGTTGAATTAAGACACACGGCCTTTGTGCCACGAAAATCATCCCAAAAGGGATCGGCAAGGCAGTCCGAGACAGCCTGTCCATCTGGGGTAAAATACAAGCCCAAGCCCAAAACCATTACGAGGGCCCAGATGCCTTTCGATGGGTTCAGTTCAGAAAGGGCACGAGAAATGTTTGACAAATTCAAAAACAAGAAAGTGTTGCCCGACAAGGGGTTTGATCAAAGGACCATAGAAGAATTTAGCTTTATACGGGAGGTGATCAACAAGCATGGTTGGCAAGCATTATGTGAGGTAAAAAATTCTTTTAACTTAACGTTGATTAAAGAATTTTATGCGGAGGCGTGTGTTTATAGTACCACCAAACTCAAAGTAAGAGGTGTTAGGGTAAGCTTTTCAGCTAAGGCCATAAACAAACTTTTAGGCCTATCACCCCCTAGAAAAACTGAGTATGGTACCCTCTTTCAAAAGGCTTCCCAAGCTAAACTAGAGGAGATTGGTAGAGAGTTAGGAAAGCTCGAAGCCACATGGGACTCCCACAGCAATTACATGCTAAGATCTTTTAGAGCTTCCAACTTGACTCCCGATGTGAATGTGTGGATGAATTTTATTCAACACTCTCTCCACCCGACAACTCATGATAGCTCCATTTTGGTTGAAAGAGTCATTTTACTATATTGTATGGTCATGGGAAAATCAGTAGATGTGGGGGAAGTTATTGAAAAGGCCATCCTCTATTGTTCGAGGAGGAATCAAGGGAAATTATTTTTCCCAGGCCTACTTAGCAAACTGTTGTTGCAAGCGGGGGTGCCTCGTTATATAGATGACTTAGTGATCAAGGAGAGCGAAGAGAAATAGTCAATTGATATGAAGGCAGTTTCACGGCTAAGGGAGAGAGGTGACCGAGGAAGGGAACATACGGGGATGACAAGGGTTAGGAGGATTTGTTTGCACAAGGCAACAACTTGATGGACTGTTTGATGGACCACCAGGCTGAATTGGTAGAGAAAATTGACGGGATGCAAGTTGAGTTGATGGAGCAGTTAAAGGCAGGTGAAAGAAAGGCAAAGAAGAGGTTTCAGAAGTCAAAAGAGGAGCTGGAAGAGGGAGCTGGAATAAAGATCATAGCCTGAATAATTCTTCGAATTACTTGTCATTCAACCAAATCACTTTGTTCAAAACTAGAACTACAAAACCACTTTTTGGGAAAACACTTTGATCACACAATTCACAATAGGAAATGATATAGGCCTCCTTTTCTATACTCATATTAAGCCACTTTCACCCTTTCAAACACTATCTACCCCATAAAGCTCCAATGAGAACATTGTCAAATTTGAGTTTGAGGGAGGAGTATATATAAGGACAAAAAGTCAATAGCAAAGAGCAAAGCTCTAATTTGACTCCTTATCACAAAAGGTTTTGGAAAAACACAACAAAAGTCCCATAAGGGCTATGTCTTTTGAAATAGCACAATAAAAGTTCCATAGGGACTATGTGCACACTCCAATCAAAAGAGGCCAAAGAGCCCAAATTTTGAAAAAAATTTATATGAGTATAAAAGGAAAAAGGCTATTGAGAAAAAGATACGCCAAAGAGAGTAAACCCTTTAAGCCCTATTGATCCTATATATGTGATTGTGTTTGAACTTAACAAAGAAAAGAGAATGCTAGCCTATGGTTCACATAAAATGACTTGGTTTTGAATGACTCATCTTGGATTTATGAAAGGCTATGAGCCTCATGTTGGGTATAACTCTTGTTCGGTTGGCACTTGATGCCTTGATCATGCAAATTTTTGTATAAATTGAGTCTTTTTATTTGTCTTTTCGTTGCTTGGGGACAAGCAACGGTTTAAGTTTGGGGGTGTGATATGTATTGAGAATTCAACACATAATGCATCTGTTTTACGTCTTTTTAGTCAAAATTAGTTTCCTTTCATTCCCACTTTGAGTCGTTTTGATTTATTTCTTTATACCTTTATTATGGAGCTAAAATATTGTGGTTAAACTTATTGGGACGTAAAGATACAAGCTGACGGAGAATTTTTGTTAAAACAGCCTGATGCTACAGCATTGCAGCTGCAGCCACTTAATACGGCACGGTTTTGCGAGGGCTTAACGATTAAGCTGCTGCCTTTTGGATGTTGAATGGAAGACAGCTGGATTACAGCTGGAAGACTTTTTAAATCTGGGATTTTTCATTTAATAAGTAATCTTGTACTTAAGATTCCCTTTGCTTATCTATTGGACATTAACTAGTGGTTAATACCTTTGTTGTGTAGTGCAAGGCCTTGTGTATAAATAGGGGGCTTAACCTTGTGATTCAAACACACCTTTTAACATATTTCTAAGATCAA